AGGAAAAGAGAAACTCCAAGGGCAAAGGGTGAAATACTTGACCTGAATCAGAAGAACCCAGTGTTATTATCTGAAAGCTATTCTTAGTTCCATGTCATGTGAAAAACGGGTACGTCAGACACCAAAAGCAGAAAAAGGCCTTCATCTTCCTCTTTAAGAGCAGTGTGGCCGATGCCCACAGAAGACTGAAATAAAGCAACACGCAAGAGAGGCATGCTGGCAAGGTGGGGGCAGGACCACTTTGGTGGAAACTTGCTCTGCAGAACCCTAACCCTAACCGTAACCGTAACCGTAACCCTAACCCATCCCTGCAGCAGTGACAGACATCCAGGATTCCAACTCAAGGGCTAATCACCAAAAGTCCAAGTCAGAAACAAAGATTTTTAAATCCCAGTGAAATGTGTCCCAAGAGGCAGGATCCAATAATACACCTTACTGTCCATCCAAATGTAGAAAAATCAGGCTGTGTTCTCAACACACTCCACAGTAAAGTTGGAATCACCTTTTACCTGGACGTCGCAGGGTATGCTCAGAAAATTTCCTTTCTTATCTGACCTCTCTAAGGCTGGTCGTCTTGTTTTTTGCACTTAAGAAATTTTTATCGTTAGATTTGATATAAATGCTGAGCTGTAGGTTAAGCTTGTGTACAAAAGCCTAAGGGTACGTACTTAATTATGGTTGACAACATGATGGTCACATTATTCTCACACCTCTCTTGCATTTTAAAATCAGCACCCATCAGGGAATGAAATAACGTAGAAAGCAAACTGCTTACTGAAGTTAGAACTTAAGAACAATATGCAACTTGTGACAGTCTCTCATCTTCATGTTTTGTTCATTCTGTTAAATTGTCTAGAGCTGTACATTCATGAACGAATTTTCCCTAGATGTGGAAATCTCCAGATAAGAGATAATAGGTCTTAGAAAAATACAATAAAGGAAGAACAAAATAGCAACACTACCTTTGAGTTGTAATATCGGCACCAAAGTTCAGTGCCTTTTTAGGAATCTTGAAAATCATAATAAGCAGAGCTGAGAGGACCACCCGTATTATCCTCACTCGCATGAAGGACAAGCACCGCACGCCCTGCTTACTCTCAAAGGCTTCCAATGCTCGGGGTGGGAAGAAGAGCCCTTCACCAACGTGGATGGTTTTTTCTAGTAGCTGCGCTAGAAAACCAGGGGTAAAATAACCCAGGCTTCATTGCCTGGGCTTAAGAGAGCCCTGGATCATTTGAGTCAAACTCATAACATGAAGGGGCAGTGGGCCTAAGCCAACAGGGTTAAGGGAGCCACCCCAGGGGCAGTCAGCCACACCCTCAGCCACTCTAGAGAGGCCCCTTCCCACCAGGCATCTCAACCACATTTTGATTCTCAAGGTACACAGGCATCTGGGTGAGGAAGGCAGGAACCAAACCAAATCGGCACAACCCAGGCACACCCAAGGGCTGAACCACTTCAGAACAGATCAGTCCCACCCTCCTTGCCCAAGGCTCAGGCAGGGCGGCTGCTTTATCTTAGGTGGCAGCTGGACCAGAGGAAAAAAACAGGATGCCTATGAAAAGAAGAAGTGGGTCAAGGGGCAGAACTCGGCAGTTTCTCTGCTCCACGCCCCCCCTTTCCTTTCGAAACAATCTCTATGTTGCTACCCAGTTGTGACTGTGCCCCAGAACGGTCTAGCTTCCAGTTCAACCTGGAACACTCTGGGGAAGGCGCCAGAAACTACTCCCAGTTGGCAGCTGCTGTGGAGGCAGGGAGAGCAGCTGCACAGGCTTGGCCGCCACAAAATTCACCCTGAAGACAAAGAGCCTATGGCTCACGTGGGGCTCGCTCCAAGACCCTGCACCCTGTGTCGGTCCTGCAGGGAACAGGGGTGCCCCTGGCCCAGTCACTGCTGCCTCCACACTCCATCTGCAGACACACAGCCCAGACTATCAAAGACAAGTAGTCACCTCCCCCTTACAAGCTGGGGAGCAGTGGCAATTCCAGGTTTACTGTCTGAATTGACAAGACACTCAAATGCATGATTAACTTGTTCTCAAAACTGTTCAACCTAGACTTTGCTTCTACCTAATTTCCAAAACCTACTGAGGATTATCTCAGTTTCTGCATTCATTAGGAAACTGATTATTTTTCTTCTGAAACCTTCCCAACTATCCCTTCAAATGGCTCTCTCTTCTACAATGTCATCCCAGTGACCTCCCGCCCCCCACCTCAGTCCCCTTCAGTCTGAATTCCTTAATCCACATCAAGCCATCTTGCCTTCTCTCACTGAACTTTTCATTCTGAAAGAAGGACACCGGGTAAAATGTGACAATGACATTTTGAAAGAGATGAGTTGCTTGGGAACTCACTCGGATGCACCTGACTATGAAATGGAAAAGCATTTCTACCTCCATAGTTGATCACCAAATCCTGAGATCTGAACAGCCAGAGAGGATTTTCTTAAAGCGAATTCTTACTTTAAAATGACCCTCCAAACCAAAATCCACTGGGATACTCTCAAGTTTCTTTTCATCTGTGCAGTTAATATTAAATGACTGATCAATAATGGCTGTAATGGACCCAATACCAGTGGGATTAAGGGATGAGAGGAAGACCTCATCTCTTAGCAATGCTTTACATCTCACAGATTTAAATACCCAAAGAATTTATAGTGGCTGTATTTGGAGTTGAGAGAATAATTGGCTTTACTCCTTAGGAATCCATTAGGCAAGTGGAGAGTGATATTACTCCCAATGCTTTCAAAGAATCCTCAAATATCATACCTCTGTGGAATATCATGTGGAGAAGGGCAAAGGGAATTTCCTGGATCACTTCCTGTCTGCCTGTTTTTAGCTAGTCACACCTGTTGGACCGTGTCTGGGGCAGGGACATTCAGGTGTGTAGTCCATGAACTGACTGGCTCCCCAGTTACCACCACTATAACTCCAAACCTATTAGCCATTCCCTCACCCACCCCCACAGTCTCAGAGAAAAGGTCTTTTCCACACTAAAGCTATTCTGGACCCTATACAGTGTGAACCTCTCTAATTTCCTCACCAGGGAAGTAGCCAAAACCTACTTCTTATATGTTGGTAAGGCTCAAAAAAAATGTGAGGAATACCTTAGAAACCAAACATCTTTGAGATAAGCTGCTATATCGAAGTTGGTCATTTGTCTTACCAATTTTAACACCAAGAGCCCCCTTTTTTTTACTAACATATAATTTTCAGGTTCCATGGACTCCTATCTTTATTTAATGTGCCTACATTTCTCTTACCTAAAAAACAATTCTGTTTATATTTTTTTATCTTAAATAACTATTTCTGAACTCACTATTCCCTCAGAAGAATAAATTCCCTCCTTTTGTCTGATTATCAAACTGTTCCAACTTGGCCCACACTTAGTGCATTCATGTCCCATCTTCTTAAAGCCAGACTGTTAGAACCGTGAGGATCCCTGGAGATGACCAAAGATCACCCCATCAAGAGAAGCCTCCTCTCCACTCCCATCCTCCTCAAATTCTACCAAACTCTGGGCATTACCGACAATGTCCAGCCACTCACTAGCTGCAGGACCTTCAATGTCAGCTTCCAAGACAGTATTTCTGAATCAAGTCTGATAAATGGGAATATGGTCTTGATTGATGTTAAATCCCTTCCTCTACTTCTACCTATCCATGACCTGCTCCTTGCCCAACATCTGGTCTTCCTTGCCCTTTACTTACCAGCATTTGCCTGTTCTTTCTAGCTGTTCCTTCTCCTAAGCCATCAACCATCCCCCCTCCTTGGGTCTCCCAAAACAGTATTTATAGAGGAGAATTCACCCATGAACCTGCACTGGTTCTGTTGGTTTCTAGACTGTAATTAAAAAATATAGTTAACATACAAGTTACTATTAAGCTTTTTATCTCATCCACCCCCTACTGAATTATCACCAAATCTTAACATTCTTTGTTCAAAATGTGTCCTGAATTAGACTTTTTCTCTTCATTCACCCTGCCTCTTATTTCTAAAGTCCTCAACTCAACTCCTCAAGTCTAGATAACCAAGCATTTTGTTGTCATTGCTCATTCTTAAAAATTGAGGACTCCAAAGAGTTTTGGCTTATGTGGATTATATATATTGATGTTTCACACATTAAAAATAAAAAAAACAATATAAAAAAACAATAATAATTTAAGCCCAGCCGGCATGGCTCAGTGGTTGAGTGTCAACCTGTGAACCAGGAGGTAAAGGTTCTATTCCCGGCCAGGGCACATGCCTGGCTTTTGGGCTTGATCCACAGTGGGGGGCGTGCAGGAAACAGCCTATCAATGATTCCCTCTCATCACTGATGTTTCTATCTCTCTGCCTCTCTCTGCCTCTCTGAAATCAATAAAAATATATTTAAAGAATGATAGTAATAATAATTTAAAAATGCATGCTAATGCATTTTAAGTTAATAAACATTACTACAACTTAAAAAAATAACTATTTTCCATTTTAAAAGTTAATTAATAAGGGTTTTATTTTACATTTGTGCAAATCTTTTTAATGTCTCATTTAATAAAGACAGCTGGATTTTAATGTCTGCTTCTACAATCAATCTACTATGATATATTCTTTTAGTTGAAATATGTGAATAATTGTGGCCTCAGACAGATATGTAGTTGGGAAAGGGAGAAAGCTTTTTAGTTAATTATACATATTCTTTGATATCTCATCAAAACTTGACAAGTAGCTATTTCTTAAAGGTTAGTTCCAATGTTGATTCGGAATCCATATCAATGAACTTTTTGTACTCTGTTACAGTAAAAT